CAAATTGATTACATATATGCGATATATAATATAAAAAAGTATACTCAATATAATAATTCTTACAAACGTGTATGTCCATCAAAATCAAAATATTTAGTGCTCATTTTACATGTTTTTATTTTCAATTCTGTGTTAGTGATAAATCATTTAGCAATTCATGTGTTATTACATACCATCTACAGACCATGTGTTTAGTGCAGGTGTTCGACGGAATATCTAGAAGCACTGCTTTTGGAATAGATTTCAGGATCAATGTACTTATAGAACTCACGAACTATATTAGCTGATTTGACTGCGGACAGTTTGGCCAGGCTAATCACGTCTACGTCTCTGCAGAAACGTTGTTTAGGGATACTTTTACTCGCAACGTACTTGAACAGTGAGGTTAACCAATCATTCCCACTTATATCATAGCCGGGCTGTATTTCGACTAGGAACAGGAAGAGTTTCCCAAATTCAGTGGTGAAATTATCCCATGCGTACAAGCTTTTCTTTACTCGTAATGGGTCATGTTCATCCAGGCAGACAAAGTTACAATATTGATTTGGCGGAGCAATTCCATAGTGGCACAGTTGAAAATCGGACAAGCACCTCTGAAGAAGTTTCGAAACTTCATTCAGTACACTGCTTGCACTAGCCAAACTAAAGCTGGCTGGCTGATCGCAAAGTTCTTCACTCAGAAGTGTTGTGTATTTCTTGTATAAATCGTGTAGAATCGGTAGTATTGGAGTAAGAATAGTATCAAGAGTTGTCCGCATATTTCGTAGACGTTTGTTGACCCTCCTACTGTTGGTCCATCGTCGTTCTATCAATACCTCCGGATGGGTAACATTATATAACACTACTGCACAATCACTGAACCACTGCTCCTCATACTTTTGGTCGTCTGGATATTTAGCTAGAACTTCGAGAAGGTTGATGGTGCCACTTAATGAGCCATGCTCTGCCACTACTGAAAACATTTGTCTGGCTTTGTGTTTCAACCCAATGTTTTCGTATTCCATGCCATATGTAACTGCCACTTCAAGTTCAAAAGTGTCATCATCACCGCATTTGTTTCTGTATTCCTGTAATTTCGAAACATTTTTTGTTTTTTCAAATAAACTGACTAGTTTAGCTGCTGCGACGACTGTAGGGTCAATTTCATATGATTTCTCGTAGTAAAAGCCTGCACTGTCATTGTGGTCAAGTAGCTCGTATACCAATCCGACTAATCGTAGAGCATTCACATCTTCTGGATGTTCCCTCAACTGTATAATAGTGCTGCTTTTTGACCACTGTACCCACAAGACTGAATACTTATACATGTTGTATAATACTTAATTGCCAACTTTTCATCTTTTTGCTTCAAAGCCTTCACTTTCTTTCCTTGCACGTAATCTTTGTTTTGGAGACCATCAAGAAAAGTTGCATACGCTAAATAAGCATCCGGTCTATCATTAGTTTCAACCAGGGCTGGTAGAGCACTGAATAATTCTCTTGATATTTCTATAATACCGATTTCTTTGTATGCCTGTGCTTTACCATGCATTGCGAGGAAAAATGTCGACTTTGATTTATTTACTGCCAGGTCGAAGTATCTAATTGCAGCCTGCAAACCAGGGTCCTGTCAATTGCCTTAAGCTTTTGTGCCATTTTTCTATAAATTACCCCAATGTGGTAATGAATGAATGATGACTCGGGTTCTATGGCCAATGCTGTATTGTAAAGCTCCATGGCTTTGTTCAAATTGTTTTTCGATTCATAATATTGAGCCACTCGTTGGACTACAGTAACACGGTCTCTACCATAATCTAGCGCTTTTTCAAAATGCCACTCCGCCTCAAAATCGGAATGCCTGCGATTCGCGTTTAAGGCTAGGTATACCTTGGCAAGAATGTGGGTCTCGTTTATCTGCAGAATCTTGTTGTATATGATCTCTTCTTGGGAAGCCCCCTGGCCCGAGTCAGCAGTGGAAGAGTGTCGAGAGTGGAGACGAGCTTTACCAAACAACCACGATTCTTGATTCGGGAGAACATCTAATGCTTTATCAAAGCACCCTATTCCCCTTTCAATGTTTGCTTGACCAAACCAACTTAACGCAAATGCTTGGTGGGCTTGTATATAAGCAAAAGCTTTGGGTCTATTTATCTGATGAATGTATTTCTTCAACTCGGTTATGACTATTTTAACATCTTCATATTCCCCTAAAAGAAACAATACATGTGCTTTGTCAGCAGGCACCACTATTCGATCACCGATTTGTCCTTCTTTGTCTGTCATTCTTGTGGTGTCATCAAGTGCTTTATCAAACCATTCAAGAGCTTCATGTGGGTCTCTCTCTCCAGGTTTATGTAGCGGTGACATGTATAGGTAACCTCTAAGTGATTTAGATGGTACAGGCACATAGTCAGGGTTGTCACGTAAGTGATGGTCCAAATGGCTCATCACAGTCTGAAAATAACATTTGTAGAGATAAAAAAAAATCCCAATCCACATAACGCAGCCTCTATGCTAACTATCAAAATGTGCAAATTACACTTACAAATGACATGTTAACGATAGCGTATACACGTTCACATTGCTTAAAATACTCTCAAAAAATCTCACCTTAATGTTTGCGTCATCATCAAGTTTCCACTGAAAATGTGAAGGAAGAGTGTCCAAAAAGGTTCATATTACCAATGCATCGTCCATCTAAGGATAAATGAATATATATGACATGTGATAATAGTAGTCCATCTTGACTGTTATCTATTAAACAAAGTCCTGATTGTTCTTATACCCCCTACACCAATCTTGCAACATGTTTGAATATGATGAAGCAGTATACATTTATTTAAATGTAGTTATATTTTACAATAAAGGGCGATCTATTACATGGTATTGGGTCGATATTTACCACGCAGTGACGTCCAGTGCCCTATACATTGTATCACATCTCACGGTTGTTACGCATGATGTGATTGGATGACAATACATGGTATATTGCCCGTCAAGTGGTTATTACATGGTATATCACATGAATGACGTCACTAAACTACTGCGCAACGATACTGCGCATGAAGTTGTCGTTCGCTACTCTGGTGCTGCCCCGGCCGCTGTTACTGTCGGAGAGCCAGAATAGATATTAAGTAAGATACTATGTTTTGCTGAATATTCTTTATATACAAAAATGTACGGTACCTCCGTCACTGAAACGTCGCAACCGGGATCGCTGCGACAAGTTTTAAGCTGTGATGCTCACCGCGAACGCTGAGTGACTGGTGAATAGAAAAAGTAGTACGTTCG